AATTGTTGTATACGGTTCGGTCACTCGTTATGGTCCGCGTACCAGTTGCCAGCGCAAGGGGTTAACAAGTGAGCGAGTGTCGAGTGATTTTCACGCGTTCCGAAAACTCTCCGATTCTTTTTCTCGGATATTCGATCGTACACGTTTCGTACACGAATCGAGTTGCTAGAGTGAAGTTTCTAGGATGAAGGTTTTTACGGCCACGCGAACGAGGGATTTTCTCACAGAGAATGCGTAAACCGCAAGCAATAACACGACCACAGAGCTTTGCACGCCACGGTTCCTCGTTTGCGTACGACGAGCAACATTGTATGAACATCTCGACGTCGAGATGTCAGTGTCCCTTTCGGGGAACGAAAGGGGTCGTTTAGGGTAATCGTGGGCGTTCGTTATTTATCAACGGCGACGTGTACGCGCGTAAGCTTTTATCGTATGGACTCAGTGGGGTCACGTATCCACCGGCGCGATCGAACGCGGATACCACGAGACGATCGAGCGGAATTATATCATTATTCCTCGGTTCCAGCGGTGGCGCGGTGGCCGTGCCCGTGTCTTTTTTCAAATAAGGAAATAAATTAAGACGTAATGGGCTTAATAAGGCTCCGGCCAAATAGCATTCCGCGACCGTGCCCAGTAACTAATGGCAGCGTTTGCGCGTTTTATACCATCATCTCGTCGAGGATTCAACGCGTGTTTGCGTGTTTGCAAACTTCCAAAACACTCGAATCGCCTTCTTTTCTCTTCCACAAGTCCAATTTTTTTGAAAAGTGACGATAATTTTTGGTCACTCGACGACCTTTCAACACGGATCATTCCGTCCGGATCGAACGGAATTCCAGAATTTTATTAGTCACGATCTTCCGTCCTTGACACTGACGATATTTAAACCGGCAATCACTTGCGCAATTAACAATTACACTATGTTTATTGATAAAAATTAGATCGTCAAATTAGAAATTTTTTACACACGTTTCGCAATTTGTGGACAATTTAGGGAATTTACAATCAAGTTCTCGGAGTTTTTTTTTCCCAAAAAATAACAATTGCCCAGAAGTATCTTGCAGGCAATTAACGAGTTAGTTTCCAGAAACATGTATCAGAATACGAACGTCGAATTCGAGACCTGGAATCATTTCTGTACGTCTTACGAAAAGGTGCCAAGTCACATTTTCGCGTTAATATTCCGTGATCGGGCTCTCGGTGTCGTCGAACCGGGGATCGTTTGGTCGATGATGGATGTGACGCTTCATCGAAAACGTCCGCCCGTTGGTGAAAGAACAAAGAACATCGGGTGGGGACGAGGCAGATCGCGAGATAACGTCGAGAATGCTTGCCGATGAATAAATTATCCCTCTTCCCGCTCGCGTTTATTTCCCTTTTCGTGTTGCGCGTCGACGTTAACGAGAAAATTTGCACAATGTGCGTAATATACACACGGTATTACGCGAACCGTGGAGGTGAAAAAAAAAGAAGAAAAAGTGGCGGCGAGACGAGAGAGGCGAAGGCGAGAAGACAAGAGCAAAGGGAGAGGAAGACGAGAGAAAAGGAGAAGGGAAGCAGGAGCAGTGGAAGCAGAAGCAGCCACGGCCAAATATGATGTGGATCCGCTGCAGAAGACTGATACTGGATACCTCTGGGATACAGGAGGCCGTGCAGCGGTGTAAATGCAATCAAGAAGGCCTCAATTAGACCGTCACGCCGTACATCCCTCATCTCGGAGTCTCGCCGCTTCTTCCTCCTCGCCGACCGTCGGTTTACGTCGTCGTCGTCCTCTTCTTCTTCTTCTTCTTCTTCTTCTCTTCTTTCTCATTCACCTCGTCTCCCCCCTTGGTAGTTCTCGTTCTCCCCTTCTCTTTTATGCGCTTTACGTGCCTCTATTTCGTCGTTGGTACTTGCTTTTTCGAATCGAAAAAAGACCCAAGAGATCGCGACGATCTCGTGATCTCGCGCGCTCCAGACTTCTTACAATTAGCCGACGATCATCGAAAGCGTAACGGAAAGCTCGACACGTTACAGCTAATCGAATTACAAGACACACGAGGACACCATTGAAGGCGTAATTGAGGGAGAAACGATTACCGGTCGATTAGCTCTTTGGCTCTGTCGTAAACCGTTCGGTTTCCCTATCGTTAGACCCTATTAAAACGAACTATCACGGGGCGCAGGGGAGGTCTGCGAGATTTAAGCGAGCTTTCGCAGAGGCTGGGATTAAAGGGGCTGTTTAATCTGCATCCATCGCGATGATAGGTAACGTAGTCGGAGAATCATCAGTGGGGGCCTCCACGTTAACCGAGTTAGTTACAGCAGACCCTGCAATTAGGGATTGTTAACTGGATAAAACCTTACGCGTGCTCCGCGCGAGCAGACGCTGGGAAAAAAACGAGGAGCATTTTGGAAGATGAGAGGAGTAACGGCGGCTTTTAACCGCTTGCGCGGTTAAACGAAACGCTTTAATCTACGAATTTCACAGAGATGAAAGTAAAGAGTCATTGACCTTCGAGCAATTGGTCCTCGGTAGTTTCCACTGTCTTCTCGTGAAATTGATTCTTCGATGATCGCGATCGAGTTGATAAAAATTTACAGCAATGTAGTTACTTTTAAAGATCCTCAATATCGCGTTGTGGGTTGAATAGATCGATAAGCATTCCCTTCGGAAGCTATTAATCTTCGTTCGATGTTTCCAAACTATCTTACCCATAAAGTTGATTCTCTGGCGATCATCCACCAGTGGACTTTTGTCAATAGAATCGTTAAAATTATATAAATTTATAATATAAATTAAATAAATTTGTATCTTCGCGCATCCAGAGATTTGTCTACGATATCGTTGACAATATGGTTGGCATATAGAATCGTTGAAAAAATTTTTTCTTCGCGCATCTAAGCTCTCTTTGAATATTTCAATGTCACTCTGTGAGAAGGGAGAAGAGGAGGAGGAATAGAGAGTTGCCTGCGGTATCGTTGACCGTGCATAACCTTAGCAGCGGCTCTCGGAAATTGGTATCGAACAAATCACTGTTTCGAGAGCGCATTCTTTTCGAGCCGCTTCTAATGCTTCTTTTTCTTTCTTTTTTTTCTTTTTTTTTTTCTTTTTTTTCGGTGAATATAGCCGGTTTGGGAGCCGGTTGCTACCGATCGCTAAATTCATTCCGATGTAGACAGTTATTAGGTGGCTAGAGCCGGTGTAAAACGTCGCTATAATGATCGGTTGCTAACTAACTGGCTTTCTCCACTATCCCCCGTCCGCGACGTATAAATATCTATGTGTGCATACGTAGACCGGTGCACTTAGGCCGTTGTACCCGCGGGCACCGTCCGATACTGTTTACACCGTAGTAATTTGCTAATGGCCAGGCCAACACGATGAATTCGGGATCGAGTGGTTGCGTGGTCTGCATCTCGATCGCGCGGTGCTCTGCAACAGACCACGCGGCTCGTTCGGGAACCTCGATCACCATCGGTGGACACGCCTCTGCTCGTTCCCTCTCGTCCGCCTCTTATCGTTCTCCGCGCTTATCGTTATCAAGCCGACATTTTTCATTGAAAAATTGCCGAACAGTCGTAACGCAACGATTCAAGCCCAGCGACGATTGACATTCTCGGGAGTACGGCACACACGGCTTTTATCGCGCAAACGCTCTTTTATCGCGAAAGGCACGCACGTCGGGGTATTATACGAATTATCGGAGCGGTGAACATTTTCAGGAAATTAAATCGCATCGAGTTGGATCGAACATTAAAGAGCGAGAGAGGCGTGATTAAAGGCGCCGTCCATTATGCGTTTAGTTCCGATCAAGTTCACCGGGGATATTACTTAACCCTGTGCAGGCACGCAAGTTCGATCAGAGTGTATGGCCGAAGCCGAGGTAGGGAAGCAGCAAGCACGGTGCACTTAAGACGGTGCGTCGTCGGTTTTGATCGGCGGATCGTTCTGTCGGTGATCGTTCGATTTATCAGCCTCAAGATCGTTAGCACTCAGAGAGGGGGAACGCCAGGTATTCACGATGCCGCTAATTAGCTGACGCGCATTAATGACTTCGGGACTCCATTAAACTGTAAAATATTTAAATAGCTCGTCGACGGGCGTGCCCGGGCGCGAATTACTTGTCATAAGTCAGTCCAAGTCTCTCCGGCCAAGAGTTATAACAACCGTATATATGTGCGTGAGGCGATAGCGGTGCTTTCCTCCCCGTTCGACGAAATCCTGTAAATTAAATACTTCTTACCGTGCGGCGAGCGTTTTCGTTCGTTGGATGTCGACGTTATATTGGATAATCGGTAGAAAAGGTTTGCAATGTAATAAAAAAACGCCGTTCGTTCTCGTTTTTCTTCCGTTTCACTCTCCTCCAACTTGCTCTTTTTCTTTACCTTTCTTTCTCCTTGTAGTGATTTATTCGTGGCGGAAAGAGGAAGGTAGAAGGGTCAATGAAATTAAATATTATACAATGGACAGCTGACGTTCGTTTCGACTCGTGGAGAAAATATGAGACGAGATATCGCTCGAACAACGTTGTTCGAGATCCTCGAGTAGATTGATAACTTTCCGGATTGTTCCTTTTAGAAGTTTGTTCCTCTGAAACGACTTTCGAAAACAAAAACGAAAGAAATGATACTTCTGTATGATACGGAGTAATGTTTGCAAGATCTTTTTGCAAAATTACGCATAAACCGTTAATTATTTACAGGCAACTTATACGCTAGGGTAATGCTTATTACGGTCGTAAAACTTATCGTGTGATATCGTTGAACATTGAAGAACATTCACGAACGCGTATATAAATAGCACTTTCTCTTATCTAAAGCGTGCACGATGGTCTGTGTGTAAAAGTAAAGAAATTACCGCGCCGTGTCCTTGAATGGCTACACTAATCTCGGTCGCGGCGAGCGGAAAAAAACTTACCTGTAAAAATCTTTCAACTCGCACTTCACATCATACGATCCGAAATATTTATTTCCTTTTCTGTTCTATAAAAAAAAAAAAAAAAAAAGAAACATAATGATTTGCGTATTTCTAATAAAAATGTATTCGACAGCGAATTTCTTGCCGCGTATACAAGTATTCTTCTGGACGGACATCCTTCGATGATGTTTGCTTAAAAATAGTCGTATAATCGCAAGTGGACGTTTTTTTCATTCGCCAACGCGACGAACGACTGTCGATTTTAAACGATTGTTTCGTTCAGACCTTTCGAATCCGCGTTAAGTACAGTTTGCAGTAAAGAGGTACTCGATAATTTAAAAATTTATATATCCGCGGAGAACTTTCCTGAGCTTTTGCCAACGACAAAACGATAGATTTAAAAGACATGGTAATGTAAATACATACGTGTAAGCATATAATTCGAAACATCGTCTTATATCGTTACTGTAAATCATAATACGTTACTGTACACGAAGTGAAACATATTCGCTTGATCTTTCGTTTTCTTCGCGATCGTTCTCAACGCAAAAGTCATTCTGAATGACGTTAAAAGGAAGGTTGAAAAAAAACTCGTTTGTACATGGACAGGTATATCGTTCTTCCTTCAACGAACAACACCGTGTAAAAACTGTCGCTTGAATGATTCATTACGTCACGATCCACGCTGACGTCCAATAAAAATATCTAATTAGCAAGTGTCTCAAATGGCCATTCGATTTGTCATCGCGGACGTGGCGTATGAATCGTTGGTTTCGCGTTGTCAAGTTTGTGCGTCTGACAAGGAGATCTGTCGCACGTGGCGCCGAGTCTTCGAACACCAAACGATCGATTAAAACGACGAGGAACGTCCCGAGATCCGAGATCGCGTTCTCAACTGGATGACCGTTGGGCATGCAATTCGCAACAGAATCGGATCCACTGTCTCTAAGATTAGACATTATGTAACGAAGGCACAACTGATCACAGAAAGAAGGGGATAACTATTATCATTCAACCTTCCTTTGCGTACGCGCAGTTGACAAGGTGGGAAAAGTCGATCACTTCGAAGCGAGTTCTTCTTTGGCTCGTATCTTGTACGAAACATACGAAAGCGCGGATTTAAGAAGCCGTACAGATATGTCGTTCGCATAAGGTTCGTACGCGTACTTCTGGGGGAGGAGAACAAACGGAAGAACTCTCCTCGCGTTTGCTTCATCGGCGACGTCAACGTAGTCGAGATCATCGATGTCGAGTTTTGAGAACGAGATGCTGCTTTCGTTCTGGGTTCAAGAAAGCAACGATTCGACGGTAATCGGTCTCGATCGACGCGTCAGATTTTCGGATCAATTTTGAAATTAGCGTCGATCTAGAGGCAGCCGCTGACGGGAGCGTAGTTTCTAGGCGTCTATTAGGTGTCCTAGGACCGCGAATCTCTTCAGCTGATGAGATCTCCGTTCTTGCGAAGCATCTCGAGGTGTAGCTCGTACTCCCTGGCTTTGAGTCTGAGCGAGGCGATGCTGTTGGTCCGTCTGTCGATGTCTGGCAGTCCGACGGTGCCCGTTGGCGAGCCTTGGGGCGAACTGACGGTCTGTGGTGGCGGTGGCACCGGCGGCGGATGGGGCAGGCTGATCCCGGCCGTCGGTGGAGGCGGGGGCGGAGGTGGCGGCGAGTTGCGTATCAATTTCGGCCTCTGCGCCGCGGATATGTTCGCCAAGAGACTTTGAAAGGACGCTGCCGATGTGTACGGCAGAGGCATTCCAGGTGGTAGCAGCGGTGGCGGCGCGCGATGATAGGGATGAGCGGTGTAACTACCGGGAAGGACCGGTCCGTGACCCAGAGGTGGGTAACGAAACGCGTCGAAGGGTTTCCGCAGGGCAAACGTGCCCAGGTGGGCGAAAGGGTTCGGCAAGGTCGGCGCGACGACCGCCGACGGTGGTGGCGCACCTGATCCCAATCCGTACGGATTGTACGGATGCGCCTGAGGCCCGACCTTCTCCTGTTTCCGCCACTTTGCCCGCCGATTCTGAAACCAAACCTGCAACCAAACATGTGTGCTTTATTCTCTCACCTTCTTTCTCCGTTTCCTTCTCCACCTTCACCTTCTTAAATCTACCATATAAACGCTAAGCCACGATAATGACGACTTCCCTCCGCTCGTTACGTTTCTTCTGCCTCTGGCAGAAGAGATCTTGCACCTCTGCGTGCGTCTATTTTTGGAATATCGCGTCCGTGGTTTCGCCCGAATTGCGTTTCAAGGAACGAGGAGCCGAAGGACGAAGGACCGATTGAGGAATCGATTTCGGAGCCCGGTTCCAGGGAAGCCTATTCATCCGATTCCGGGTCGGTGAGCGAATACTACCTCGTTCTCTGGAAGTTGTTCGGGTACCGTGGAAGCGCGAGTTCTGGTTAACGCGACGCGTTCTACTTTTTCTTTAGGAAACTCACTGGTGTATCATTATTGCCGAGGACTTGGAAGGAAACCGAGCCAAGCGATCTTTGTCCGTCCGTTCCTTTCTCTTTTTTCCTTCTCTACCCAATCCCTCGTCTCTCTCTCTCTCTCTCTCTCTCTCTCCAAAATTAACGAAATATCGACTATCGTGAAACCGTTAGCCCATTGCTGCCGCCCAAAATGAGTAAAGAATTCATCTAAATTCCCCCTACGTCGTACAAGACGATCCTTCGAGACGATGGGTGAACTTTCAGAAACGCCGAGCGGACGATCGCGAATGAAACAAACGTGGGCTTCGTGATGCGTCGACCAATGGAGCGCATTCCATCGCGAAGGTTCCTCGAAGACTCGAGCTCTAATCAGTTCAACGGAAGCTCTCCTCCCTCGTCTTCCATGCTCGCAATCCCCTTCCCTTCCCAGAATCCTCTCTCCTTTCTTTCCCTTTCCCCCCCTTCGTTTCTTCAACGGACTTCAATTCCGCAGTCTCCTTTTCGGTTGTTGGGTCGATTTCGTGTCGTGCCACGAAAACACGTCGCACGTACAACACGGCGGATTTCACGTTATCGTGGAGAAACCTCGCTGAAACGAGACGAACGGTTCCACTCGAACAAATTGCCTTCATATATCTCGTGACAGAGCGTAATGACGAGAGACCAACCTGGTTCAACAACCGCCGCCGTGCTTTGTCGTAAACATCTGCTCGTTTCTGGGAGGCAATTGATGCCCGAAAGTATGTACGTAATATACATCGTATCGTTTCGTTCGGTTCAGGTTCAAGTAGAAGACTTTGGAAACTAATTTGTCTCGGGGGACAGTTTTATAGGCTCGGCGACACGCGACAAATTACCTCTCGACGATTTCTTTGCCAACTAGTTTCGGCTTCGATTCTTAGCTTCGGCATCCAGGGAATATCTCGTCTGGTGGAGAGAGACGGAGAGGAGATCCTTCAGCGTGGATATTTTCATTCTCGACAAGGAAATCAAAAGAACCGCCGAAAGACGTAGATACTTCTCCGGTACAATCGGATGGAGCCCCGTCATTGCACATTGTAGAATGGGATCGGTGGAAGGATATTTCGGGATGACTCTGCGATTCGAAAATCGATTCGGTCGATCGCTCGGACACGAGTCGAGTATTTTGTGACTCGTGAGATTACGGATCGAGAGACTACTATACTAATCCCTCTATTTTTTTTCTTTTGGTTCTTCGAAAGTTTTGATCTCTCACGTGATACTATTATACCTGCTGATGAAACGAGTGGCAACTTCTGTTGAGTGGCCAACTCTTTCTATTGAATCCTCGACTGATCGAGCAAGGACGAAACTAACGTGTATATCGGTTCGAACGGTTACGCAATGAGATTCGGCGTGCTCGATCTTTGAACGCGAAAGAAAAAGAAGATGAGAATACGAAAGTGGAATAGGAAGGAACGAACGAAACCGTGTGTGTTCCACGGGTGAATCGAACGATCGGTCAGACACAGTGGAGCATGCAAAGTCGTTGCTAGGTGTATGGAGAGTTAAAGGTGATGGGGGGGGGTATGGGGAGGTCGGGTGCCAGGACCCCCCACGGTGAGCAGGATTGCCCCCAGCAGGGAGCTAAACATCCGACTTGCGGCTTTTAAAACAAAACGCAACCACGATTCGCCGCCGGAACCTAGTCGTTTCGTGCTTAATCGTGCCGCATTAATTACGCGGACGCCGGCTACATTCTCTCTCTATCTCTCTGCCCCTTTCAACGATTCTCCTTCTGCTTCTACATCCCCTCGCCGCCGCGGCACCGTGGCCACTTCCTCAAACGAAAAACCTTCCTGCTTAAATAATTGCAGTTTACGATAGGCCAAGAATTAATACTCTCCGAGATATCTCCCGACGCGAGGGCATCAGAACGTAGATCAAAATTACTGCTAGACATGGATGACGTGTGTTGGTTAAACAAACGTCTATCATAAATATTCGGATTTAAGAAACTTCGAAATTATTGCGTATAAAATTCACTTCAAACGAAGCTTCTCGATTTGATTTTGGCCTTTGATCCTGTCTCGGACAGCCGTCGATGTGTAATTAGCGACAGTCAATGTTAATTGGTGGAAATGAAAAGAGCGATAATTGAAAATAAATAATGACTGGTTCCGAGTGTCTCTTGTATTGTTTGTTCGAGAATGATTGAAATATGTGTTTCCAGCCAATTCCAAATGTTTGCGTAGATTTTACAAAGCTACTCGTTTAGAGACGAACGTACGAATCGAGCGATGTGAGTGTAAGGCACCGCAGTATATTTAAATTTACATCCATCCAAGCGTTTCGATTCCAATTATCGCTAAAGGGATAAAGAATCAGTCGCAGAAAATATATATCTCTGGCAGAAAACGTCAAGACAGTGGTGTGCGTGTATAGACGATGGTGTAAGCGTATATTTTTCGACTTTGAAAGCACTTCTCTCGACAAACGGAACGCGTGTGCGAGTTTTCGACGGATTCCTGAAAATGATTAACACAGTTACAATGTTCCTCGATGGCGTGTCATTCACTTAATGGCCTCACTCATGGCGTGTGCTCGTATAACTCCAAACCGTGCTCGTATAATAACTCGGAATAAATCGTCGATCTGTGGCGGATGGCGACGTATTTGCAAGTATAATGAAAAAATGCCGAGCGTGGACTTCTATGGCGCGAGATAGACACACGTGAATGCGCGCAGAGAGAAAAGATGAGGCCGGAATGTAAGAAACGTACGAGTGGTTATGGGGGAAGGACGAAACCGAGTAAATACCGAGAATAAATTAAACTAATTGAGCGAATTAGCCGGTTGTTCGAGCATCGAAACTTCTGCGGATCTGCGACGCGTCGTGCTTGCCAACGTGACGCGCCGGTGTCACGCAGACGATTCACTCTCGTCCCCTTGTTCGTTCCACATCCTGTTTTTCATACACGTGGGTGAGTTAGTTTATCATTCTAGCAAATAGCATTTTTATAAATATTTTTTATAAATATGTATAGAAATTTCTTATAAATACATCATGTGCGTACATTTTGATATTTTATTAACAATAAAGTGAAACACGACTATCTACGTCACTTTGGAAGAAACATGTATGTATGGAAATGACAAGATATCTAATATTTTCCATTATACGTATATTATATTTCAATGAATGTCTTGTTATTTTTATATACATTTTTATGTTGATTTCAAATTTTATCTGTATAATTATAATACTCGTATCTCATTACAGTGTTAATGAATTTCAAAATGTTTTATGCAACACGCGTAACGTACGAACACTTGAGACACTGTGCTAATATTAGAATTATTAGGGAAATGAAGATCTGTTCACTATTGAATTAATATTATTAGCAAAATATTCGCTCAATTTACAAGTCATCGGTGTCGATAAATTCTCGACGATGGTAGAAAGGATTTTTATAAATAGATCTTTTGCAAAACGCAAAGTTAACTCGAGCGTTAAATTCGAAGATAGAAAAATTGTAAAAACTCGCGACTTGTAGCTTGTCGATTCGCTAATATCATTTTAGAATAGAAACTTAAATGAGAAATTGACGTACAACTTACTAACCTGTATTCGTGCTTCCGTGAGACCGATCTTCATGGCTAATTCTTCCCTGAAAGCAGAAAGAAAAAAAAAAAAGAAGAAGGAGAAAGAAATTGCAAGGTTAGCGAATTGATATACAGTGTGCCCGCTGAATTACGAGCTGCGTATAAATTATATACTTTTAAGAAAATTAAGACGTTAAATGGATGCGCGAGATGGTGTCGTGAATGATAGCAGCAGAGAAACTGAGAAACCTCTGCAAGCAGTAATAATCATACGTTCATTAAGTTAATTAGAACGTATGTAAGATATCAATTAATTGCATTACATCCTCCGACACTCGTGTTTTTCAATTCGATTGCCATTCGCATAAATTAGTGTGACGGGTGTAACGCATTGTAGCACATCATTTTCATAATTATTCACTGCTATCCGAGTAGATCGTATCACGTTCTTGGATGCATATTGCTACACACGTGTAACTCTGTTTGTCGACGATATTACGCGTATCGTTATTTATTATAAATTAAATGATTATTAGCCATCGCGAAAGGATCGTAGAACGCGAACTGTTTATGTAACAAAATCGCCAACATTTCCGCAATGAGGCGAATAATTATTTTTACTCCGCGTTTTCCATCTGTCTCTCTCTGTTTCCTTTTTTTTTTTTTTTTTTACAACGATATCTCCCACCCAGTCTTCTTTTTTTCCCCTTTGCTACCGATTCCTTGAACTCTATTACGCGAATCATTATGCAAAAATCGCTGGATCGACGTAAGCATGTGTTACGCGGCCGTTCGAGCCGAGCCGAGGCGAGGCGAGGCGAAATTCCGGAAGCCTTTCGTTTCTCGATTTCTAGGGTTTTTTGGCGGGCCCGAAAAGGATTGTCCGGCGATTATATCGGTGTCCGAGGCAAAAGCGATTCCCGCACGGCTGTCTCGCTAGACGGCCTCCGGGGTTTCTCATCTCGCACGCAAATTGCCCAGATGTTCCACGAAATCGCAAGGAAATCTCGGTGATTATATCGCGCACAGAAGCTGCTGCTGCCGCTGCTCGTCTTGCCTTTCGATCAGCTCCGCTTCAATTTCGTGTTTAGGCGCATTTGAGTACACGAACTTCGTTTCAGTTAGTGCCCGCGCGAAATTACAGGGGGTCCCTTCTGAGCCGAGCTCCTGAAAATCGACTGCCCTGATTTACGCCGTATTTATCGTTGCGCCTTTTCTCTTCACCCTCCCTATCCGATAAGAACATCGGAAGCATATTCGTCGTACATAATCTTTTTCATTGGAGATAAAAAGAGAAATATCTATTCCAATCTAAGCAATCTAAAGCAAAATTACTAATTAATCATTAGTTTCTATATTAACAAGGATTTCAAAGCCTCTGATTTCTACCCGTGATCGATTTTCAGATGTACATACACATGATATATATAAATCTGTCTCGGCAGAATCTCGGAGAACACTCAGAGATCAGAGCGAGCACCTTGGCCTGCCAGTAATAATAATTTAGCCTTTCCCTTTTTCTCCGCGGCACACTCACGAACGTCCTTCTGGATTTAATAAGATCACGAAATTTCGCGGTTAGACGGGCGTCCCTAATTACACCCGCCGTTCACTGCGACTCGGTTACCCTCGATTCGCGTATCGTTATTATTACGTATCTCCCCCTCCCCACCCCCCTTCCTCGATGTCCTTGCCACGGTGGGAAATGTGCTAGTTGCTAGTTGCTAGTTGCTAGTTGCTGTTTCTGCCAGCCATACGCGATTAGTCGCGAGGTTCGACTTAACTCGTCTTGCGCAACTTTTTTCACAAATCCTCCGTGCAATTTATCGCTCCGTGCAATTTTTTAACGAGCTCATCTATCTCCGGTTCGAACGAGCGCCGCGCTCATGCTTACCCGATGACGTCGTCAGGCATATTTGTATCGTAAAACTGCTCGTTTCCTCCGAGTCGCGGAGGTTGAAAACATCTCGCGTTAATAACGTTAGCGATTGTGCGAACGAGCACGCGTGCACGAAGTAAAGAGAGGAAGTAAAACGCGTTTCCTCGCGAGATACAGCGCGGGGCCCGTTGATGCAACTCGGAGAACGGAACTCTGTTTCGCAACCGCAAAAGACAGACGAGAGCAAACGTTCACCGTCGAGAAGCAATCCGATTGATCCGATTAAACGCCGGGGCTTTTCCGCAATCGTTCTCCCCGCCCGGTGCCGTATTTTTCTCTCGCTTAATAACGTGTACAGCGTGAATTTTTTCCCAGCGAGACACACAACGATCGAGACCCCGCTGGCGAAAAACATTTTCCTTCGTGTCGCTTGTCCGGTCTTGTTAGGTTTCTTGTCGCGCCTCGTTGGAACTTTATGTTTCTCTCCGGAGTGACTAATGAATAAACATATCTGACTGCAGAGGGAGAGAAAACACAGAGAAAACAACTAATGCGATCTATCGCCTGTTGCCCCGATGAAACGCTGATTGAAATCGTTGCGTCTTTAATTCGCGACTTTTTTGTTCCTTTTCTTTTTTTTTTTTTTTAATCTCCGCGCTGGCGTACGTGTATCCTCGTCTGTGGAACTTTTACATGCGTTTGAACGAAAAGGAGAACGAAGGCGACACACGCGATCAAGGCGAGGCGAGAAAAGGATGTGATGAAACTACAACGTTAAACGGACAGAGAGAGAGAGAAAGACTACCGCGTGATGCGGCGATGTAGAAGCAAGAAGTTTAGCGCGCGAATAATTCAAGTAATTGCCGGACAATTACATTATCTAATTAACCTCGGAGGTCGATTCAGACAGCCGCTGCAGTGTACGCTCGTGTTTGTCGTAATCGTGTTTGGCGTAATCCCGATCGTTATTGTTCAACACGCTCGGAAATGTCGTCATCCGCGATCGAACGATCCTCTCTGCTTCACGGAAATTCGTATCGTCAACATCAAAAATTCCCCTTTCGTTCGAATCTCATCCTCGTTTCGTTCCATTGGCAGCCAGATGTCAATGAAACGACGACCAAATTGTGCATCTTGCGACGTGTTGAAGCGCGATCCTCGGTGCAGTTGGTACGTGGAAAGAAGGCGCAGAAACGTGTGCCAGATCCGTGTCGTGCAAAATGATAGGAAAGCTAGTAGCTACGAGGTAATATCCGTGCATAATGCGATGCAATCCATCTCTGCTCTAACGATCGGGTTGGTCAACGAACAACCCTTGGAATTTGCCATTAATCTCCGGTATAAATCATATACGTCTCGACTACTGCTAGAAACGTTGCGCTCGAAACGGCAATTACCGATGGAATGACACGGCATTACCGACCGTTTCGATGGCGCGGCCATGGTTACTTTCCTCGTGGAAAGCGTACGACGGAAATTAATTTCCCGTAATCGTAATAACAGAAACAGAGACGTTCCGAAAATTAAAGCGGTCGGCCGTGGAAAGTAAAACGATTAATGTGAAATTTACCGAGCGAATCTCTCCCGTTCCCAGAGAGACGACGACTACGATCGTGTAGAAAAGAGAAAGAAGAGAGAGAGAGAGAGAGAATCTCAAAGTCGGTAGTCGGTCGTGTAGGTAATGCGTGCGAAATGCGTGCGTAATACGTGCTTAACACGCGTACGCCGTGAAGAGCCAATTACCGATTAGCCACACTGTCGTCGATCGAATCGCGAACGAGTCTCGTTTCGAACGGTTCGACCGCGAATCAGTGGGAAGGAAGAGTGGGAAAAGGGTTCGTTCGGTGGTAGGAAGGAAGCGGTTGGCAAAAAATTTGGTACTGCGAAAAGGTCAGCGAGGAAAAAAGGATTAAGCGCAACGGGATCGTCAATTACTCTCGCCCCAACGAAACGAAACGAAACGAAACGAAACGAAATGGAACGAACGAGAGAGGCAGCAAAAATTAGAGAGAGCGTTCGGCGCGCGTTGATTTTCGAGCGTGACGTCGCCGTCGTTCTAATAACCAGCCGATCACAACAACAGGGCCGCTAATCTCATTTGCCCGAGAAACGGATAACGGATCCGGCAGAAGCCGGCGGCATTTCTAATCGGGAGCATGACTCGTCGGTCGATTAATGACAGGAGAAGTTACAACCCTGGGACCAGGTGGGACAAAGAGGAGGTTAGCCGTGGAGGCCACGAGAAGGACACAGAGGGATCGAAGAGGTAGCCTGAGGTCCATGGAAACTGGTTCCTGTTCCACGGATCACTGGAAACAATCATCCTTATTAAACTCACCACCGACCCACCCCACCGATATAAAGTTCCAAAATCATTCGGAATGATTTACCGGGAACTGTGTTCTGCTTTCACCGAGAGACAGGTGGATCGTTCGAGGCTGCGTTTCGAACTGACGATAAGCTTTGCGAGTAAGACCGCAAGCCACGCGCAAGATCGCGCTCTATTCCGCCTTGTTGTATATTCTCCATTTCGTCTCGGACGTCTGTCGGTTTTGATGAAAAACAATGAGGTGGAGAAGCGAGAGGAGAAACAACGGGGAAAGAGAGGAGGGGAAAAAGTGAAAACCAACAGAGCAAGCTGTTCAGCGTGATAGGAGAGTTTGGTGGAACGATTAGCCGAGGCACGGTAGCTCGAGCCACACGATTCTAATCTAAATTAGATCTTAAGAGCTCGTAAAAGTAAGTGGCTTGCGTTTGAAGGCTTGCAACATCCCCGCGACTGTATCTAGATATTTCATCGTATACGGATTTCTTTGACCTCGACGATCGATCGACGCGCCATTTTGTAAAACCACTCGAGGGCGCCACTCGAGGACATCACTCGCGAAACCGCCACTTCCGTTTCCGTTTCTGAGTCAAATTCGCGAAAGACGCGCAGTTGACAGAATCCCAAAACGGAATGGAAATAACGTCTCGATAGAACTAATCGCACGCGTCTCTCCTCTGTAAAAGCGTCTAATGAATATGCATCGCGATCGAATCGAGAGGCTGCTTTGCCTCCTCTCTCGGTCGGCCAGTCAATAAACCTAAGCGGCCATAAAATCCAATTAGTGTGAAATTAATACTCCAACACGGTATCGAGAAGGAGCGAAGGAGCAAGGAACGAGGAACACGAGGGGGGGTCAGGGTAGGGATTAATTTATATGAAAACGGCAAAAAGATACGGCACGACTCGACGCGAGGAGGAAATGATCACCGATTACGAAACGATGGATCACGCCGGCTGGAGCTGAAATTACGTACAAAAATCGATCGATTTCTTTATCGTGCCGCGCGATCTATTCGCTGGCGCTCTTCTCGGAAATTGCAGAATTAACCGTAAACGCCGACCCGGTGTTTTCCGAGTAAAAGCGGAAAGTAAAAGCGGCCCGCTTCGTCGGCGATCGAAGCAACCGGCCATGGCACGGGTTTCACGTCGACGAGATGCCACGGACATTAAGGCTTTATCTCAAGACGCGAGTCTAGACCTCGAACTTTTCGATAAGCCGGCCAGGCTCCGCTCGTCTCTCCCGGAGGGCGACCAGCTAAGAAGATACCATAAGAAGTCCTTGAGACTTTTTCTCGAAATTTTTACCGCTACCAAAAACGTGTTGGCAACGTGTCACGGTTGCCTCGTGTTTCGACGCGTTTACGCGCCGAACGTTCCGAATTGCGAGTTTTAATTCGCGCAGCTACTCTGTCAATGGTACACCCGTAGCTTTATACCTGACTACGCCTCCTCTGCATATCCCCTCTACCTTCGTTAATTGCGAGGAACCCATACCGTGGCCGCAGGACTAGACCTATTACGAGCGATTACACCGCTATTAGTTACCTACCGGGTGTTCCACGCTACGAAAGAAGCTACGAAGAAAAAGAAGACGAGAGAAAAAGCTACCCAGATAGATTGCGCTACACCCCGTTGCCGGCACGTTGCTCCACTCGCACACACATACGCGCGACTGAATTCAACCAGGGAACTCTTAATAATGCAAAACCCCGTAGTTTCGACGCCGCGCAACAGAATTTACTCGGCGATCGATTAACGGAGGAAAGTCGATGATCGATGAGCGCGTGTACCTTGTGTCGATAGATCTGGCGAGTTTTCCGGGATTCCACTAACAACCTCGTCGATCATGCATGGTTGCGGGAATTAGGATTTCTTTTTCTAGTGTCGCGTTTCGTCAGGTGCATCGTCTCAAGTTAGTCGTTTCGCGTGGAGGCTACGTTGGAGAGAAAAAAGATTCTTACGGGGTAATTGAAGAGAGGAGAGGAATTTTATTAACAATCACGATCGGTTGGACATCGGTTTCGCGACATCGACGCGACGGGCAAGATACCTGAGTTTGTTTTATGACCACGTTCAAGGTCTACTTGTACATTCGATCGTAAGTTCGTTTGGCTATCCACGAAGAAGCAAGGAAGAAAAAAAAAAAAAGGAAAAAACGAATTTTTTTTTCAAAATCGAAGGACAATCGACGAGGATCGTAACTTTGTTTTAAAATTCAGTATTCGGTAAGCGTCGGTGGAAAACTCACGGGAGCTCTTAACCGTTTGGTGACGAAATATTTGGATAGAGAAACTGATAGAGCTCTGACTCCACAACTTCCCATCTCCGTATCTTGATCCCATTAGGGAAGCCTGACGAACGCGACTGAACACCTATCGTCTAAACATTCTGCGGAAGGGACACGGACTTCTTATCAGCGGCAAGCCGAGATACCGAGCAGTTGCCGAAGAAGAATGATCCGGATAGGAAGTTATTCCATATTTTTTTGCGACCTCGACCGAGAATTATCGGACGATAATGCTTTTCGCATTTTCGCTAGCCTAGCTACTCCAAAAGGACAACAAGGCTCGTGTCACTCGTGCTTACCTGGTGAACACGTCGGGATAATGAGTTCTCGAGAAAGCTTTCTCGAGTTCCTCTAGCTGAAAGCTGGTGAAGGTAGTCCTATATCTGCGTTGCTTCCTCTTCGGCGCAAAGTCATCGACCTCGGTCTCGCTTTCAGGGCTGGTCGGCGCTGCTCTAGGGTGGTTACTCTCCTCCTCGGCTCTCACTTCCTCCGTAGAGATTCCCATTTGAGCAGATTGGGGTGCCGTTGTGGTGGGTGGCGGTACCGATTGTTGGTGAGCTTGTTGGCTCGCCTGTTGCAGGCTCTGATTCACCTGACCTGAGCTACTCGTGCTACTCGCAGGACTTGTCTGCGGGACAGCTTGCTCACTGACGCCGCCGCTCCCTCCTCCTCCTCCACCCCCTCCTCCTCCTCCTCCTCCTCGTGTCGAATGATCTGCGATCAGAAAGTTGGACTTACTTTACACGCGGACTATCCTGTTTGTGTCTCTGATTAGTGGAGACACGTTCGATTTTCACACGGCGATATCCGTGAAAAAAGAAAAAAAAAAAAAAAAGGACACACGAGCGACAATGGCGAACGACAATTTGATTTAACGGGCGACACAGTGTCGTAAAGTCAAACGGCCGTGTCGTCGTTATCAGCACTTTAAACTGAATTCCCCGGGTGGATAGGGAAATCCTGTTGGTTTAGCTTCCGTTCGAGGCGTGCTTCTTACGAAGCCACTCCAATTTCTTCGCTCGAGTCGTTAACAACGGTATGCAGAAATCCGCAATGAAAATCGCAAGTGCTCGAACCATTCACTCAACTATCAATGTCAGCCGCTGTGCTGCTTCAATCAGCATACGTACGCAGTGACGCACAATACAGGACGTTTCAAAAATACGTCGGGGTGGGGAAGCTCGGCGAACGAGCGATCGGCAGGACATAGATCGGCGCGTACGGTTAGAAAGTGCCGCGTAATTAGAAAATACGATTGTCAACGTGCCGACGACGCTACTTCACGACGATCGTTCCCCGCTCGAGGCGGGTTGGTTATTTTTGAATCGAGTTATACGTACGACCACGCAGACGCGTAGAGACGGAGACACAGGGACAGAGGAGGACAGAGAGCTATCCGTTCCTTTCACCGACCTTGCTGCATTAATGATTCCTACAAGCCTACACTTCGGCACGTTCGACGGCTGTGAGTGATCATGTAACAGCGTTCGATTTGCTTGTAACGACCAGAATCATTTTCACGCGCGATCGATACTCGGACATACCAGCCGAAAGATCCTACCTCGTGCTTACATGCTGCTACTGATAATTCCCGTCCGCAATTTGCAGTGGTATTTTACCGCAGCGAACCGGTTCCCGGGGTCCCCTCTAATAAATTTCGTCAAGTTCGTTTGCCGCTTAATTCCTCATTATTGAAATTTTGCTGCCCGAGCGGGATCGTTAGAAATTCGAGGGTCCCCGTGTTATTATCCGATGTAACCGCAGCGAAGCCACGATACAAAATTTATACAACGTTCTCTAGAAATTTTCTGTTGATATTTAACCATTTCTGCAGTATCTTTCGGTATCTTTTAGATTTTTCTTTTTTTTTTTTTTTTTTTCTTTGAAAGTTGTAACATCTGCAGCTAATTTTGTTAGCTTTTGCTAAATTCGTGGTATACTGGTTAGTAAAAATTAACTTTTTAACAATTCTCGAACACCAAATCGCAGTATTATCTTCGTTGTGTTTAACGGTACTTAAAGGATTTGTTGCGTCTCGTTGTGGTAATAAAAATATCATACAATGGCACACGTCAATCTCACAGTTGGTAATACACTCCAAAAAGATATCATCTTCGTCGCCTCATTGTAACCTCGAACGCGAATCGATACAGAATTCTGAACGCGGAAAGAGAATTTCGTTTCCTAGTGGTTCGGCACGATGTGGTCAGAACCCCGAAAGTCACGGAGTACACACAGTCGGAGAAAGAGGAGGGAAGAGGGAGAGACCGGAGCGGCTTTCTGCTGGCTTTAAGCAACTGTTTTTATTTCGGCCGATTTATCGGAAATGAGTTTATAATGCAGGTAATGCGAACGATAAGTATGCCGAGCGTAATGCGAACGATAAGCGAGATCTAAGGCTGGCAAACTCCTCTGCTTTTCATTTTTTATTGGCTTTCGCCGTAAACATCGAATGCGCGTAGCATATCGTGTTACGGCATGCTCGTGGATAGAGGAGGAGAAGAGTGAATGAGAGAGAGAGAGAGAGAGAGAGAGAGAGAGAGAGAAACGCGTATAGGTAGCCTTTTACACTATAATAGCATTAATGGGCCCGAAGCCGCGCTTAATGCTCGTTCGTACGTTGGCCAGTTCGCTTCGTTATTAACTGAAAATTACCGAAACCGAAATCTAATTCGCGTAAACACTGTAATTTCACGGCGGGAGGAACAGCTTCGTGGCCGGCGCGTAAACTCGAGATTCACCGAGTCTCGAGGAAGAGAGATAGAGAGAAAGCCCTCGTATTCCACGCCAGCTCCTTGCCGGAACTCCGTCACAGTCGAAATCTCGCCTCTTTTCCACGTTTTTCCGAATCGAAACGAAAACCGGCTTGACCGGTGCAGCGCTCTCCTCCTTTCCGGAGGAGGAAATCCTCGCTGCCGCGAAAGATTAAATCGGTCCGACGCTCCTATTAATTGACTCGTCGTTAACTCAACGTTCGCATCGAAATGTTACCGCGATGTTAATTCGTAACTCCGGCCGAGAGTCGCCGGATTCTTGCAGCGTATCGCAGTGAATACTCGATTAGATGCGTCACGCTCGATTAGATGGAGTGATTTTCTAGAGAGCGGCTTGAAAATCTGCTCAGTCATATCTGTCATATTTACACGGGCGCTGCGAGCACTTGCACGTGTTCCCGAGAGAAACAGTCGACCGATACGTACGTACGTGTACGCGCGTGCGCGCGCATGTGTGCACGCTCTCGCGGCCAGTACATTACGCGTTCCATCTACATGCGATCGCGATTTATGGGCATACAAATTAGCGCGGCGTAATAAACTAATTAGCCGACTCATTGAGGCCGCGTGTGTTTCTTTACGGACGTGGTGTAATGGGCGAGCCGACGACGGTGCAACGTCAGTACGTCGGAACAATGATCTTGACTAGCCAACTAGTCTCGAGAATTTTCCACGATTTTTCTATATAGCGCGTTTACGTTTGCGAAAACGTGGACGTTCGTTCTCTCGATATTCTCTCGCATTCGCGCGATAGCGAGAACCGTGAGCAAACGTAACGCGAGAGCAAGCACCATAAGTGAGCAAGAGGCAGTCCTCGAGTTTGAGAAATTTACCACCGGGAACAGGTGGTGCCTGGCGGACGAAAAAGCGATAGAGCTATTTACAGCGCGCGTAGGAAATCATCGTTATTCCGGGGGAGTGCGTTGATGCGTACGAATCGTGGAATCGTGACGTCGGTGTACCGCGACGCTCGTTACACCACGATGGCAAGGTGGTTTTTGCATCGAATCATACTTGCAAATTTTCGCTAATAGACGCATCAATGCGTCCAGCGACAAGAGCCGGCGACGCTCGGACGTGTTCGATTTCTCGGCACGATAATAACAAGCAATTACGAATTATCGGCGATCCTTTGTAGCCGCTGGCTGCTCACGCGATAGCTGCTCCCCTCCCGATAACCGCTATTTACCTTCCGGATGCCGGTTACGCCCGCACATGCGTTTTTAAGCTCTCCAGTTGAATTAATTAAGCCCGTATAACGCGCAGCCCAGGTTGGCTGCGAGTGGTAATTGCAACAATGAAGAGGTATCGCGCAGAAGTATTAAAAGATGTAAAAGGGGAGATGAGGCGAGGTGGCTTGGACTCGCGCGCGCGCGTGCAGGCCGCGTCGATGCGAGGCGAGGCGAGGCGAGGCGAGGCAAAGAGAATAAAGCCGGAGTCCCTGACTTGCGAGTAGAAGAACCGCTTCTATACGTATATTACCTCTCTACCTATACTGCTTTCCTACCAAACGTTGCACGCATCAAGAATTATCTCGCACTCGATCGTAAGAAGTAATTAAGTTGGCAGCCAACGGAATTTTTCTTGTTTCTCATCTCTGCTCGTTCGTCCAGCGTCCAGGGAGAGAGAGATAGAGAGAGAGATTTCCCGAGTTGGAATCGCGATGCGACGATAAACGACGCACGAATTCAACGACGATTTCCGATCCCGTTATACCGGCGATTATGCGCAACTGCGCCGTCAACACGCAAGACGAGACGTTCGGCGAGATCGTTAATAGATTGAATTTTCCTCCGGTTAAACGTTCTCGAAATAGGACGTGCTTCACTGCATCACTGATACGCTCGTAACGAACCGCGACAGCTGCAAACGTAATTTCTCGGTAGTTGGGAATTACCCGGTGATTCCTAATTAGCCTGGCTGCTCGATCTCACGCTCGTGACGAATCGACTTCGCTTCGATCGCCCGCCGAGTTATTAAAAGGATATTATTGGTACGAGTACTTACGCAAGAGCGTCGACGTTGCTTTTCGTTTGACAAGACGCGGACGTATGGAAGCTTCTTTGAGCAAGCAGCGCGGTTTTCTTCCGTAACGAAGGAAATAATCGCATCTGCCGGATAACAAAGCACTCTCTTGCCGATTAAACGATAAACGAGCGGAGTCGTGTTGCGCGTTCGTCGTTGGACGCGCAGTAAGTCGGCGATGACAATTATTTTCCAGTAATTAACTCCACCAGAGAGAAAGCGAACGATACGATTTTTCATTTATCTGGGCGAGAATTAGGCGTGATGCAGCTTCGCTGTTGTGGTTTTAGTTGTAATAAAACGCCATCTCGCTTTGCCGGCGCACGCGATTCGTTCGCGCTCAGCCTTCCGTCAAATTGTAGGTAAGCGCGATCGTTGCAGTGTGCTACGATTAAAAAATTAACCGCCCGCCACCTCCACGTTCGTACGTAAATCGTTTCGAGGTAAATCCGACGAGGATAATTACGAGGCGCGTTGGTTAATTCCTGGAACCTGGCGGCGGTGTCGCAATGCGCGTTGATCGCGCGTTTCGTTATTCCCGGCACCGATGAAAATCTCGCGACGGCACCGCTGTAATTTGCAAATTACTCCATTAGACGCCGAGTGAGTTGGCCCGTAAAATCAATTAACGATATAGTGAGATAGCGTTGAAATAATTTGTCGACGTCGTGGAAATTGGTGGATCATCGATCACTCGGAAGTCAAAGGGGCCTCCCGTGCGCGAGTGAAAGAGAAAGAGAGGGAGACGTCTTCTCGAACTGAGAAATAAACGCGGAGCTCTCGTGGCGATACGCGTGTATCGATTTGTTAGATCGTTTCGTTCTGTTCGTATCTCAAGTCGAGAGGAGGACGTTGATGATTCTCGTGGACGATCGGTCCTTCGACAGACACGTTTTGTTACAAATTACGCGTAATATTTCAACGCTCGACAAGGGATTGAAACTACACGCACTTAACAGAGTGATCTTTGAACTCAGGGCAAAAAAAAAGAAAAGTCGAGTAACGAGAAAAACAGGCACGGTATGCGAACGCAACTTGGTGTCCATCGGCTGCGTTCGAGAATGCGCGTGTCTGGGTCGATCCGACGAACGCAACTTTCTTCGGCGTCGAACTTGTGCCGATAACGATCTGCAAACGGTCATTAAGCCGATCCTGAATGGTGCGTGGCACGCACGATAAATCACGCTGAGGCCACCGATGTGCAATTTACCAGGGCACTAACGCAATCGCGCGAGTCCTAATCTACATCTAAATACACAGCTACAGAGAACAGTTGCCCCGTCATAAACTGTCGACAGCCGCCTCTCAGCATTTCTCACCGCGATCGGTTCACTGAACGTTCGAACGATGATTGCTCCGAGACGCGGATCACACGCGTTGTAATATTTTCTACATGTTTTCTACAGTCTGTCGGTTACCAATTGCAATGACTATTTTCCTTAACCGCGGTTGCGTCGTGGCGTTGCACAGGTTACACAGGTATTGTCGTATTCGCGTGTATTAGTCTCCCGTCCTCGCGGCAATTCCGAGAACAGACGCATCCTTGCTCGAACAAAGCGAGACCGGCGCGGTGTCGGGGCTGTCGACAACGGCGATGACGACCGCGATGACGGTGGCTAGGTGTTCGTCGGTAAAGAACACGCAACGGTGCATTCGCCGGCTCTTTTTCCTTTTTTTCTTTTTCTTTTTTCTTTTCCTTCCTTTCTTTTCCCCCTCGCCGACGTAGTCACGGCCAGCAGATAGAACTTAAGCACAATTACAATTATTTACGGCAGTTAATTATCCGCAATGTCACCATTAATTACTAAATTGCAACGTTACTGCGGTTCCCCACTTGGCCTATCACGGTCTTCATGCGTGGAAAATTGCGCGTATACGAGGCGTTGAAAAAGTTTAATAGAAACCGATAATTACTTAACCGCGCCGACGATAAATTTTCAAGCACCAGGCTAGAACGCTGGTAGCAATTCGGAGTTGAGATCGCGTATTACTTCGGTAATCGCAGCTGGCGCGTGACAGTATCCGACGAATAATTATCGCGGATACCCTCTTTCCGCGTTTTTCTAGTAGCGCGGTTCTCCCGAGTCGAGCGGAATTACGTTTCGAAAATATCGAGAGATCGGAATCAGGTTTAGGAACTTGAAAACAATCGAGATTTAAAAAAATATTCTTCGAGGAGCTTTGAGAAACTACGAAAATTCGAGATCGGGATCGAACGATCGATCGGGGCCTAAATCGAGTTAGCCTCCGAACTAATTTTTCGCGCCAATTACGAAATTATGTTGTCGCGTTTATCTTTTTAGGCATTATCTCCGCGACCTTGTTCGCCATTTTTGCCGTGTTATTTTCCACGAGAGTAAACATTTCGCGGTATTTGCGAATAAAGGTAATCGTTGCGATAGGTATACGGCCAGCGGATCTGGTGGGAAGATGGCCAAGATAGGCAAAGAATGAAAAGAAAACGCGCGTGTGAAACGAAGACGAGTATAGGCAGTTGCGAAGAAGCGGGCGCGCAGTCTTGTTGATTAATGGCGGGTAATTATGTTTCTTTTTTTTGCCGTGCGTGTAATTGTTAATAATTGAACGTAATCGTAATGCCTTTTTAATCGCATTAGTTTGCGCGGTGGAGATTGCGCAACGGAAAAGCGAGAGAAAAAAGAAGAATAAGAAAAAAAAAGAAACAAAAAAAAAATTACCGACCGCTACGAATATAGCCGCCAACACGCACATACACATACAGGCAACAACGAGTACCACGACGGGGACATTTTCTCCCATGGCGGAAGACCGTCATCGTTGTTGCCGTCCGGTTTTTTGACATCCGGAGAATTATAGCAGTTTATGATACAGGCGCTTAACTTATAGGCGGACTAGATACGGGCTCGCGAGTACGCGCATTAACTAACGAAGCCACCGTTTTTAAAAAGAGATAATATTGCCATTCGGCGGCGATGGCGTTCTCGTTTGTTGCCACGTCGAAAACCAGCGCAAGAGCAATATATATTATTATATAGTTCTGTGTGGCGGAAGTGCATTATTCGTCGCTGCGTTTTTTGTTCTCTACCTAGAGAGAGAGAGAGAGAGAGAAAGAGAGAGAGAATAATAACAGCGTTGCGGGACGATGCACGCGGGGCGCGAATAAAAGGACGGCTGCTTTGCATAATTGTTGAACCGTACGCCGACGGTGTAATCAAGAAATGAGGCAGCTTTTTGGAAGCGGCCTGGCAAATTTCACCTTGTAAGTTCGACGCCGCCTTTTCGCAGACCGATCGTGGCCATTAAAATGAAACCTCGCCTCGCCTCTCCTCTCCTCTCTCGCACGAGTAGTGCGGCCGCGAAAAAGAAATTGAAAACTTCATAACGCCGAGCGCAGCAACGTTCGGACAGCGTTGCGCGAACGTGTTCCCAGCCAGGCGGTTTTACCTTCGTTTCCATTTACCAATATTATGATACTTTTCGATCGTCCGGTAAAATCAATCCACTTTCGTACCCGATATTTCTCGTAATTAATACGAGCCCATAAATTATCGAACAACAACTACGAGAGCCACTTCATTAAACGCCAGCCAGCGGTTGCGAGCGAACGCGCTCTCGCTATTGCCGGTAGAAACCCCGGTGGAGGGAACGAGAAAGCGGTAATCAGGTTTTCTACCGGTTTTCCAAATCCACTTACGCATCGTTATGTCGTATACATCGTACGAACGTTGCTTCTTTTCGCCGTGAATGAAGTCGTTTGATTTATGTACGACGGTTAAGGGCCGATTACTCTTACCTTCCCGATGCTTTATCTAGTCATCGATCATAGCCGCGTGAGACAATCCGTTCTGTCATCTTCTAACTCTGTTTTCCGGCTCAGTCACGCTCGCCGCTCGATCAGCGAATCGAGTCTCGAAAATTTCTGATCGCCAACGTGAATAAAGTAACAAATACAGGTTGGACGAGGCGAGAGGTGGCGATTCTCCTTGCGGACTACCGGCACTTGGCGTACCATTGTTTTCGCCTTTCCAACGGAATTCTAATTAAGAAGATCGACAGATAGGCCTAGCGACCAGCGAGGCGAGCAGAGTTATTAGACTTTTTTTTTCCTTTTCTTTTTGTTCCTTTCTTCCCTTGAACCGTTGCCGCGCTGTGGAAGCGGTATCCCGGGGGAAGGGAGAAGGGTGACGGAGGTCTGCAATTATTATTCAATTTCCGTAACTGCACCTATCTTAACCCGATGTCACAATCGCGCGAGCCAGGCATCGCGGCTCGTTGTTCGTGCGCATTTCGTGCACGTACGCCGCACTGCGCCGCACCGCGTCACTTTATGCTCAGCCTTTCCCTGTTCGGCGAGCGTGTTGCGTGGTGGCAAACCGGTGGAAAAGAAGGAGTTGCCGAGGCGCGTTGCAGAGGGTCACAATTAAAGCGCATTAGTGCACCGGCCACACACTCGCGCCGGCAATTTTCGAGTCGCCGCAGCACCTTGACATTCTTAGCGCCGTTCCCTTTACGCCGAGCCAAGTCGGTTTCCAAGTCGTTCCCGTTACCTCTTTCCTCGTTAACCGATATCGTTGCGCTATCAATATCGTTCACTCCGTCTACTCTGTTCCAGCATCATCGTGCTTCCACACTCTTGTAACGAAGTTTTCCAAATACTCTCAGTCGTTTTTTCTATCTTCAATATCGTCCAGTCCAGAGTTGACTTTTCACGTTACGATATTCACAGAGCGTGCAGAGAGTTGAAAATCGCATCGGAACGGCAATTACGAAACACGATGTTCAGCTAAATGGACACTCTCGCGAACGAGGGGAACAACGCACGATTGTAATCCCATTGACGTCGTGGAAACGATCCACGGAGATCGACAATCGAAATTAACCCGCCCGTTAAGCGACGACGCTATTGTCTACGAGTTTCCAGATGCTCGGCTAGATTCAGGAAGCGGGTCGAGCACCGAGTAGCAATTGTGTGTGTACCGTCTTCGATAACGATCGTTGTCCGGGATCGTCGTACAGCCAGGACGGTTGGTGTTGGTGGTTGTCATCGTTTGCAGCGACATGCGTCCTTTTAATCGCGTTCCGAAAACCTGCCGAGCGCATCGAGGCGACAACCTGCATGACCCTGTGCATTCTACGCGAGGTCCCGCCAACACCCGAGGAATAATTAGTCGGGGTAGCCGCGAACTGTCGCTAAGTGCAGGCAACGCAGGATATCCTCTATAGTTGTAAACGCTATATCATCCCCGCTGTACACGCGTCTCTCTGCGTACGTACACGCGCCGACGACTAGATACGGATCTTGGAATCGTCTCTGGAGAGGATAATTGCGACGCGAAATTCCTGGACCGGCTGTCAACGGGGCAAACGGTTTATCGGAAAAATATTTTTCGACAGAAAACTCTGGTGGTCCGTGCACGCACGCGCGGTGGTGGTTGATCGTGATCCGTAGAAATCGGCTGGACGTAGCAAAAATTCTCCCAGGAGCAGAAGTTTCCGATTCCAATTCCACTCTCTCTCGGCCGCAGTTCCTTTTCTTTAATCTTCTCCCGCGGGCAACTTCTTCTCTCCTGCTTCGTGGAACCACGGGAGGATTAACCCGTCACAGATTCGGTGGAGGCCCAGGGACCAATTTAGCCCCTCTCTCTCTGTTCCTTCTCGGTGTCTTTCTCCTCTTCTCGGCTCGAGAGAAGAGCCGCTCCGCTACGGGCTTTCAACGAACCCGGGTGTCGGGTTCTTGGAGTTTCACGGTGGTTTTCGTGGCGCTATCCTACTGCTATCTGGAGCCACGGTAATGTGCTTGCCTTGTCCCCGATTAATCCGAGTCCTCAGGACCACTCTCCGGCCGCAGATATGTGCACGTCCTTCGACAGTGGCGGTCAAAACGTCGCTTCGAATCTTTTTTTCGTAGCCGGCCACCGCTACACAGGAATCCAACCACGTTTCTCGTGTGCTATGGGTACATCGGGACAATGTCATTTTGCCGGTCGACGGGGACGAACTACTGACAGAGCGATAGATTTTTCGAAGCCTAGTTGTTCAACTCTCTTTCGTTCTTCGTTTCTGCGAATTGCTCGAGGTGGCCGTTATCACGAATTTTATAAGGAAATGTGTACAGCGGGAAGGAAAAGGAAAGTATCAGAAAGGGATCGCCGATCGTCTGTAACACGGTAGTTTCTACGACGGAGGTCCTCGGGAGAGGGTGAGGCTTATGAGTGCCGCTCTGCGTCCTGTGGTGTCGCGTCGTTCTCGTCCCCACCTCGTGGGGATCATCGGATGTTATCTGTGACGTGGAATGTCGCCGTAGGTACAAAATACAAATAAGGTCTCGTGGTGTCCACACTTCGAATTAGGATCGAGGACCTTTTCTAGATGTTATCTGAGATTGGCGCACGCTGCGGAGCCACGTGCCCCTTTCGTAACCACCGTGCCTTCTTCCACCGTGCCCGAGATCAGCTTGAAATTTGACTTTTCCCTCCTGACATCGACTCGATCGTGCAACCCGGCGGACCCGCAGAGATCGCGTGTAATTAACCGCTTGCGCAAGGCAACTGATTGCAGACCATAACGAGTGACCGTACACAATAATTCTTTTTAAACTCGTCGGTATATCACTGGAAATTATTGAGAAGTAATAAATTTATTAGTCCTATTTTGTTTTACTTAAATATACTTAAAACTGAGGAAATATTGCAATTTTGGGACGAAAAATTCTCGATTCCAGCGCTGGCAACTGATTGCGGACTATAACGAGTGACCAAACCGTACACAATAATTCGTCGCTTTCTTTTTGAACTCGTCAGTATGGCATCACTGGATAGAAATTATTGAAAAGTAATAAATTTATT